GCCCTCCTAGAACAGACGAACGAACGGTTGGAAAGCCAGGCTCATGAAATATAGTTCCACTCGGTCGCCCGACACCCCGGCCGACTCAATTTAACGTCCAGAAATATGTTCTGACACGCGTCCGGCACTCGCCCCAACAATGTACTAGGCCGTGACGTCCCACCGACTAAAGTTTCTTAGGTCAAGCTTTCTCGGATGTCTCGCCTTCAACCGCCCCGGAAGGCCCGAACGGATGGACACACGAGCTCGGCGTAGCCCGAGTTACAACCTTCAGGAAGCCATCAAGCCTCGTCCATTCGCCCATCCGAGGCGAACGAGGAATCAACATGTTTGGTCTCACCAAATCTGGTCGTCCCTACAGAACGACCGAATGGATTCGATAAACTTCCGGGTTTCGCCCGACTGCAGGACGAATAACCGCCTCGCGGTTTTCCGCGATAATCGTGCTAACGTACCGAGCGACCCGACCCAGCTTCGGCTCTTGGCTCATCGAACCGATTAAGCACAACGCGTGGCGGCATGCTCTGTTCGGGAATAGATACCGATCAGGACCCAATCAAATCACTTGCGTCAGTCAAATTTCTCCAATGATTGCTCGTCATGGGGAAAGAACGAGCTCGCCTGAGTACGACCTACTCTCTAACTTGAGATACTCAAATCAGAGAGTGGGGGACAAACTGTTAGGGCCAAAAAACGTCCTGGCCCAAATAACGAAGAAGGACCAAGCCCAGTCCTGCAAAGGCCCAAGCCATAGTTCTCTTCTAAACATGAGGAACAAACGGCCCAAACTGAGCGGGCACAAGCCCTTCAAACTGGCCCATCCTAGGTCCATGGACAAATCCAAAGCCCACAACCCCCTCAGAAACTTTCCTACTCCGATCAATCTCTCATTCAAGGTCACCTTCCTATTCCTGATCACCTTCCTACTCGGAGTTACTCTCCTAATCAGAATCACCTTCCTATACAGACACTGTAAGACAGCTTACCACAACCCTAATTCTTCTAGGGTTTGCATCAGAGTCGTATTAGGATTCTATTTCTACCAAGATTGGGAGACTAGACGACCACTATATAAACAGGGGCCAGCCCTCTCACAAAGGAGATGGACATTACACCTCACACCCAGACTCTTCACTCGAGAGTTTCATAATTCGCCGTAGTCACAGTCCCCGACTAGACTTCCGGTAATCTCTTATTCCTCAGCCCTCACTAAATATAACCCCTTTAGCCTGCTGATTGAGCGTCGGAGTGCCTACGGCAAACACCACCCGGTGTGTTTCCCGTTCGCTTCACGCGCGTGTTTCTCTACGTGTGCAGGTGCAGCAGATCGCTAGTGGCCTTGACTCACGGGATCAGACCCCCTTCCGTACAGGTAGATTTTTACGTTACACTCTCCAAAAAGAAAGTTTTCATTGTAAGTTCAATTTCTTTCAATAATCATTAAATGTTTAACTTTCAGTTCTTGATTATTCTCTTTAATCTTTCAAGTTCTAGTTTTTTTATAATCTCTCATCATCGTGTAATGTGAATCAAGCTTTACCAAGCCAATTCTATCTATGAATGGAACATAAATGGCATGTTGATTATAACATTATTATGGTCTTACAACAAATGACTATGGTCAGTAATGCCTATAGGACTAAACTTAGTTCAACAGACCAAGCCATAGCCCACTTATTGGTAGTGGCTTCACTGGCTCTCTCAAATCCTAGTGGATAGCCACCTACAAGGACACAAAACCAAAGTGAATTCTTACTGCAATCAAAATAATGATAATGGAATACCAATTTTGGATGAAGATGGTAATGAAATTCAAGATGCGTGAATACCTTAATTTTTACGATAACTCCCTTTGTAGGAGAACCCGCAAACGTAAAAGACAAAAGTCAAGCTGCACTAATGAACTTAAAATGCAAAAAACCTTCATGTTATAGATGGTATAAAGAAACATTTTTGTTAGGGTTATGCAAATGCCTGATAGTAACAAACCCTATTCGAAGGTTAAATTTTTGGCCGGTTTACCCAAATATTAGACTGACAAGGTTAGAGAAAAAATTAGGAAACAATATGATGGTACTATACCATACGACAATCTAACTTATGGACAATTACATAGTTTTGTCCAGAAAGTTGGAATGAAAATTTGCAAAGATAAAAAACTCGCCTACCAAAAGCAAAAAGAGAGAAAACAGTTAGGAAAAGAATTAGGAAATTTTTGTAAACAATTTGACAATCATCACAGAAATTCTTTTAAAGGAAAGAAAATCAAAATATTCACTCAATAGTATTCATGTGATGCTATAGTGAGATAAGGTTTTCTATAAATTAGAAGGATTCGTGTAATGTGAACCAAGCTTTACCAAGCAAATTCTAAAACTTTCTCTTTCATTTTCTTTTGATGTAAACTTCCAAAAGCTCTCCAAAAAGAAAGCTTTCATTGTAAGTTCAATATCTTTCAAGTTCTTTGATTATTCTCTTTTAATCTTTCAAGTTATCTCTTCATCATTCGTCATGTTTGGTTTTAATGTTCATTTAAGTTTTTATTTGTAATGTTTATTTAAGTTTTTATTTGTGTTATTTGTTTCTTTAGATTTTTGTTCATCACTTAATCTAGTTCTAGTGCGGCACTGCCGCTGTTACCTAGTTAAGTGTTAATTTCACTTCTTAATATGATTTCAGTGTGGCTCTGCCGCCGTTCTCTTATTAAATTGTCAGATTATTTAAATTTTATGTTTTATTTTAAGTTTGTTTAAATAATCTCTGCATATCTCCTCTTTGTGTGTAACGATCCTGTGTCTCTCCTGGTATTCAAAAAGGAATTGCAACTAATCTTTTGGTTTTTGAATAAGGATATGATTTTGAAAACCCCAAACAATTAGTTCAACAAATTTTTCAAAAAAACTTTCATTTTATCCCTGAAGATTTAAGGAAAACTCAAAATTTTTATGAATTTCTTCTTGTTGATTTTGACTCTTGTGAGTTTAAACACTATGAGGATAAAAACTAACCAGGATTTATCACTCATTCAACCTTTCATATTATAAAAATCCTTTTATATATATATATCATGTTATAATTATTCACTAATGATATAAAAATTTATGTTATTTATGAAATCTTAAGCTAATTTTGTTATTTGATCAAGGTTAAGAGTGGAGAAAATTTCCTTTTTCTTTTGTAAAATTTAAACATTGATTTAAGACATTTTGTTAAGAATAATACTACATATAATAAATATAAAGTATGTATAAAAAAATATTCATACAAAGTGTATGGTATATTTGTATTGTTCTTCTACTAGCACCTTCGTTTATCTAATTTATTATATATTTATTCAATAAAACAATTCTTATAATTTTTTCATACAACTTTTTTATACAATATTAAGATAACATTTGGGATTAATTAGTTTGCATTTAGGCATACAAGATTTACTGTAAACTGGCCAATCACAAATCAGCATATCAGAATTGTTTGAAAATGTTTTATTAAAAAGTTGAAAGTGTAGTAACCTCATATTTATTAAGGTTGACTTTTACGTTACTTTTTTAATTTATCTTAAGTCATATCATTTTATAGTAAAGATATTGTATATTTTATATATAATCTTTGTAGATATTCTTTTATTTTCATGTTTTACATTTTACCATTTAATATTTTAAAGTTAATTCGATCTGCTTTTGAAAATATCGCCCAAATCTCAAGCCATTATTAATTATATTATTGTCAATCATTTTTAAAAATTATATCCTCTATTTAGGGTCTTCCTCTTTTTCATTAAGTCCATGAATTTGGTAAAAATCATTTTTTTTTTAAAATTAAATCCATGGATTTTGGAAAATCCACCACCTTCCCGAATCCTTCATTCATTTTTTTAGGGTTTTAAAATCTCACCTGGTACTAAATCCATCAGTGTTCATAAAATAAGGGATTTTGATAACATTTTAATTTTCCAGTACTTTCTTAATTAATAATTCAATATCCCAATAATTACTTTTTATCCTAATTAAAAGAAATATATTTACCGTTTTCAGCTCCACCTTTACATTATAAGCATACTATTAAAGTTATCATGATCGAAGATAGTTAATAATATATTACAACAAAGCTACGGACACCAAAAATTTTGCACCAAAAATATGTACCGGCCTACATGTACCAGACGCTTGATTTTTCTATTAATTTTTTTCTAGTGAACAGCCGTCCATCAAATTTGGACGGTCGTTCACTCACATGGACTCCCGTCCATATTATATGGACGGGAGTTCATTTAATACGGATGGACGTCCCTATTTAAAGGACGCCCGTCCATAAATAAAATAGAATAAATTTTTTTTTATAAAAATTAAGGACAACCGTCCTTAACCAAAATATAAAAATAATAAAAAAAAAACTTTGGGGACGGCCGTCTAAAATAAAATTTTGGACGCATACTTAAAAAAAAAAAAAATGTTTGGAATAATGGACGCCCGTCCATTATTTTTGTTTCTAAAAATTAAAGAAAAACTTTGGATGGGACGGGCATCTGTAAGCAATGAACGCTTACGTTTTTTTAAATAAAAGAAAAACTTACAGTTTCACGCAAGGCTGATGGGTTTGAGATCGCCAATGTAGTTAGGAAGTGTTCATTGGTGACAGCCATTGAATTCAATACCTCAGCATCACTTGTCTTTGTCCTCTAAGTCAATGACATACATTTTCTCTCGGATACACTGAAAGGCCGCTTCAGTACAGAGAGCAGCAAGATCTGCTCCCACATAACCATGGGTATCTCTTGCAACTCTTTCAAGATCAACCTAAAACATGCCATCAAATAAGAATGTCACTATACTAAAGAAAAAAGACATAAAATGATTTATAAAAGACGATGAGATGAAGCAGATGAGAGTCCTACATCTTCAGCAAGCTTCATGTTTCTGTGTGGATTCGGAGAACTTCCAATCTTCCAACTTCATCAGGAACACCTATGTCAATCTCTCGATCAAATCTCCCAAATCTCCTCAAAGCAGGATCAATGCTATTTGGCCTATTTGTGGCTCCCATAACAATCACATGAGCCCGGGACTTAAGGCCATCCATTAGAGTTAGAAGCTGGGACACTATACGCCTCTCCACTTCACCATGTATCTTTTCCCTCTTTGGAGCTATGGAATCTAATTCAACAATAAATATGATTGATGAGGCATTCTTTTCTCCTTCTTCAAATGCCTTCCTCAAGTTGCTTTCACTCTCACCAGCCAACTTTGACATTACTTCAGGTCCATTAATCAAAAAGAAGAAAGCACCTATCTCATTAGCAACAGCTCTTGCAATCAAGGTTTTTCCAGACCCAGGTGGCCCGTAAAGCAAGATTCCCTTTAGGGGTTTCACACCAGTTGATTTGAAGAGTTGAGTGTGTCTGAGAGGAAGTTCTACAAGCTCACGAATTTGAGCCATTGGCTTCCTAACACCGCCGACATCATCATAGCCTATTTCATTTAACCTCTCCTCATCCTCACGTTTGATGGGTTGCCCTTCACAGAATTTCAATCGGAAGAGGGAGAAAATGGAATATGTTGTTGCTCAACATCATCCAGGGATGGGTAATATTCCCAAAGGTACAGAAGGTGAGCAGGTGGCAGCAGGGTGGCCTTCCTGGTTGGCCACAGTGGCTGGAGAGGCGATCAGGGGATGGGTTCCACGACGTGCAGATTCTTTTGAGAAGTTGGACAAAGTAAGCTTCTTCTTCTAGTCCATTTATAGCTTTTTTTTTTTTTTTTTTTTTTTTTTTTTTTTTTTAAGTATGCATGGACGCCCGTTCCCAAAGTTTTTTTTTTCTTTTTATATTTTGATTAAGAACGGCCGTCCAAAATTTATAAACAGTTGTCCCTAATTTTTATAAAAAGAGGATGTCCATCCGTAATAAATGGACCCTCGTCCATATAATATGGACGGAAGTCCATATGAGTGAACGACTGTCCAAATTTATTGGACAGCCATTCACTAGAAAAAAAAATTAATAGAAAAATCAGGCGCCTGATACGCATAAGCCGGTATACATTTTTGGTGCAAATTTTTCGGTGTCCGTAACTTTGTTGAATATATTATATTAACTTGAAATTTTTTTTGTTTTTTTTACCAAATCACAAAGAATCATTTATTATAATTAAATTTCTCTATCAAATATAATTTAACTTATATTTAATTAAATAAAAGATGATTTTTTGTTAGTTTTATATTTAAACCAAACAATGGAATTTATCAAATACATGGATTTTAAATCCCTCAATTCAAACTAGGCTTACGTGTTAATTTTCTTTTAGTATTTTTAGAAATTTTCTTTGATATTTTTAAAGTTTTTTCATGATTTAGAAGTATTTAATAGTTTTTTAAAAAATAAACTTTTTTATTTTAAAAGATGCAGGGTAATACTATCTAACAATATAGGGGATAAAAAAAAAAAAAAATTATTACTTTAATAAGTAAAAAATTACCTTTATTACAAGACATTTAACAAGTTTAATTTACCTATATGCTAAAAACTCTGAAATTTAAAAACATGATTATATCAATATGGATTATTTAGATATTATTTAATTTATCTCATTAAATTATATAGTAATTTATTTTGTTGATTATATAACTCCAATCTTAATTTTTATTTCTTTAATTTCAATTAGACTGGTTCTGTCTAATTTTGGTTTTTATTAAACTAAATTCTTGATTTCAATGTAATTATTTTTTTATACAAATTCTTTTTCTTATATGTTTTAGGAAATATTGCAGTTTAATTCTTTTTCATTTTTTTTATGGTACAGAATTTAGATTATATTTAATGAATTAATATATAATATTAATTAAAAATAAGTATAAATTTTAAATAAAGATGAGATATGCTATTTGAAATTGATATTTCATCTTATCTATATCATTTTCTAAAGATTAATACTATGTAAACATTATTATGATGATAAATATTAAAAAAAAAAAAAAAACTCAATCTTTAATGACTAACCCCTGCAAATTTATATTATCACCAAATTTATTTTTTCCGAACTTTTAATTAAGATTGTATAATAAATATGCGTTAAAATTTATTCGTTTTATATTTCTATTTCTATTATATAATTAATAATTACCTCACAAACTTTTATTTGTTCAGATAATATCTCATATCAAAAGATGATTATGATCCAAAGGTCACATTATTAATAAAAAAACTATATTAAAAATTAATATTGTGTACTATATTAACATATTGTCACGAAAAGGGATTATATTATATATACTATAATACCAAATTAAAGAGTAATAAATAACAAAAATTATAATGAAATTTTTAGGGTTTTATTAAATAAAAAATAAAATCAAAAGGAAAAAGTCCATATTTTATCCAAAATGTCGAATAGGCCTTTCATAGTTCTTAAATCTTAATTAATATTATTTTTTCATTTACTCAAGGCGATTCCCGATTCCCAAATAACAAAAACCAATAATATAATCACACGTGGCAAAGTCAAACAGAGGTAAACAGCATTAAGACTTCTGTTCTGTATTCCTTTTCATTTTATAACTCTTCATTCTCGTTCTTCTGTGTTCACGCCATTCGCAGTGAAAACAATATTGTTGTGACCAAAAAAAGGAATATGGGAAGGAAACCATATGCTGCAAAGAGTAAAGAAAGAGCTCCCATGGTATTTTTTTTTAATTTTTTTTGTAGTTTTTTCTGTTAGTTTAATGTGTTTCATATTCTTGTTTTGTCTGTCGACGACGACTCTGTGTATTTTTTGTTGGTTTTGGTTTGTTATCGTGTCTGGTTTGTTTATCTCTTTTGCATGTCTGGTTTATGATTACTTTTATTCAGTAGTAACCAGTGAAAGTGTTGATGATTGAAGTTTGAAGTTTGAGTGTAAATTTTTTTTTTTTTTTTTTCTCTTTTAACGCCTTAACGGGTTTTCGTTTGTAATTTTTATACATGCAACTTTTGGCTTTTTTTTTCTTCGTGTTTGCAATTCGGGGTCTAGGTTTTATCTTTCTCTACTGGCTACACATTGTCTATGAGAAAACGCTTGTTTTATTCAATTATTGAAGGCTCATAAAAACGATAGAGATGTTTCGGGATTTTGTTCTTTTGAGAAGATATTATCATTTGAAGGGTCAGAAAAAGAAAGAAAATAAATAAAAAATAATGGCTTATATTTAGTTTTAGAGGAGAATGTCACTCTTAAGTTTGAGAGTTTTTGGAGAAAGCTTACATGTGTTTCTGGTAAACGGGAAAGATCTTTTTTTTTGGCAAGTGTTTGTTGTGTTTTTTTGGTGTTGAAATTTGTTCTTAATACATTTCATTTGTGTCTTTGTTTTTGTTTTATTTTCCGTTGGTAATAAATCTTTAATTCGTGATATAATGAGTTGTAGTCTAAATGAATTATATCTCCTGGTCGAAATTTTGTCTGAGTGAAATAGGTTATAGAGTTTGATCTCATTTATTAATGTGATATCTACTTAATTTGGATAGAAATCTGAAGAGAGGGAGGAATTGCCGCCTCAAATAACAAATCCTTCTTCGGAGAGAGCAGAATTGCGGTCTGTTAGTGAAAAAACAAATCAATCCTTGGAGAAAGTAGAACCACAACCTAAAATGCAAGCGAATTGTGGTAATGTATCTTCAAAAAGGAAAGGGAAGCATGCTGTTAGTGTTAATGTTAGGCGCTCTGTACGACTTCAAGGTACAATTGTGCATACTCATAACCAGGACATTGAGCGTCTGATTGAAGAGGTAGCTCTTAGCGAAAGTGACAAAGAAGATGAACCACCATCATATGAGGAGATGGAACAGCCTGAACCAACTACGGAAGAGAAAAACTTGGAAGACAAAGTTGACTACATAATACAACTAATAGAAGGTCAACAAAGCAAATTTTCCCCTCATGAGAGCCAATGTATGTGTCATGCCAAATATAAAAGCTTGTATTTTGACTCCCAAAAGAAGGTATCAGCATTTTGCTAGTAAATGTCTCTCTTTTTCGGATGACCTCAAGTGTCATATTGTTTTAAGTACTATTTATGTCTTTTTCTTTTTCTTCCCTCAAACACAGATTGAAACCTTAACAAATGAAAATCATCGGCTAGCTTTGAAGTTAGAAGATGCGCTGGACAAAATTGAAGCAGTATGTTCTTTAGACATTCTTAATCAGATATGCTGATCTATCACTTTTTTATTTTATTGTCTTTATAGCAATTTCATGTTTCTGTATTCTTATTGTTTCAAAACTGTATAGAAAACATGTCCTTTTGCACAACATATATTGGATATAAGATTTGTGATAGGAATTTCATCCTCTGTGGTAAGCATTAAAACAAATTATATTTCGATGTTTATACTCTGATTGTTTCCTCGTCCAATACACACAGTGATATGATTCTTTGTGGTTTAGTCTTTTCAAAGCATGTAGAATGAAGAAAGTCTCAGGAATATGGAAGCATTTACTTGTCAGAAAAGAGATATGTTAGTATCAGCGCTAAGTATTCATGGCTCCCTTACCCATAACCTTTGGAGTGGATATTGGAACAAATGTTTTTTTGCTGCTGTACATGCAGTTGTAAATGTGAATTGATCTTGATGGCCACAGGAAACTAATCTTCTGTGACACTTTCCCCCAACCGAGTGGATGGCTCCCAAAGCTTTTGTTGTTTTCTCTTAATGATCATGTTGCTTCATATCATTTTTTTTTTTTTTTTTTTTTACCGGGGGTGTCTAGTCTAGCTTACGCACACCTCGACTAGTCCCCTAACCTCGAATAAGGCTTCCGAAACAGGGCTAGCTCTGTAGTCTGTGACCAATAATATTAGTAACCGTTCTTGTGATTCAAACCTGAGACCACAGGGGGAGCAAACCTCTTGGCCCCAAGCCTTTTACCACTCGGCCAACCCATTGTTGGTTTGCTTAGTATCATTGGTTTAAGCTGCAGTGCTCCATATGTTATCAAAATTTAGTGCATTAAAAGCCTATTTAGATCCATATGGAATAAATTGTGATGGGCGCAAATCTGTATTTCGTTTCCTCGAAGTAAAATTCACTTTTCAGTGGACATACTGGAATTTTAGGTTTTGTCTTTCAATAAATGTCTGTAAGAACATATCTATCTGCTTGGAGAGTTGAGTACATTGGAGATTATTTTGATTTAAACATTATTTGTTTGCATGAAAGAGTAACTTTTAGGCTGAGAGAGTAATACTTTTGGCATCCATACAAATTTTATACTTAGAGAAATGGAGTTTATTTTCATTTAATTTGTGATGTCTTGACTTATAACTTACAAATGTTTTCTTTGCTTGTAGAATGGGAAATATGCTCGATCATATTCAGAACTGGTGGAGAAATGGAAGGATATGTTCTTGGTCGCAAATTTAACAAAAACTGTGGAAAATGCAAGACATGAGCAAGAGGCTGGTTGCGAAGCCAAACCTTCATCATCTAAGAGGAAGAAACTTGACAAATAAAGTTAAAAGAACTGATATTCTTCGTATATGTTATTCCCAATCGGTTGAAAATCTATGTTGTGCTTCATAGTACTTGTGGCAGTTCTGTTATATCTTGGCTTTTAGTGGCCAAGTTTATTTTGAAACCGAGTCAGGCTTTTAGCTCTTGGTAGTTTGGAGCATATAACAGTTTTTACTGGTCTGTCATGCCTTAGTTTGGTCGGATGGAGCACAAACCCTGTACTCTCTTTTAAAGATTTGATGTATAACTTGATTGCTTAAACTGGAACCAGTGTCATCTTATTATGGGAATCAGACTTTTGAAACTTAGTAAGAACCTGGGGTGTTAGTAGTTTTGATGGGATATTTTGCTTTGTTTGAGACCCTGAATTCTCCAAGATAAGAAAGGATTTAAGTGTGCAAATTATGTCCACAGTTTGAGAGAATCGCAATGCTTCTATCTTTTTGTTTCAGTCTACTGGAAAAGGTTTATTCGAAAGAAGAAGATGGTGGAGAGGAGGTTCCAGGAGAGAAATGTAAAATATAGAAAAGATCAATTTTTTATTAGTTTATTCAGCAAGGAAAGCTTCAAAATTTACATTTCAAGTGAAAAGCAACTTGAAATCTGAACAAAGCTTTGATACAAAACAACCCAATGGTTGCATTTCATGACTACTTACTCCTCTTCTTCACGAAAGCTCTCATCAAGAGAAGTAGGTAAACCAAACAACTTTGTCGCAGGTGTTTGCGCCGCTTCATAATCACCATCATCATCTGCTATGGCCGATGATGGAGATAAAAAGTCTAAGCACATTCCTTGTAGAACGTGCTCATATGATTCAGAGAGATCTTGGGAGGTCATTTGGTGGTACTCTACCAGCTGATGAAGGCACTGATTTTCTCTAATCAGATTCGCATTTTCATTTGCTAATCGGGATTTCTCCGCAAGCAGAGCCTCCATTTGAAGCCTCACCTGCCCACAAAGGAGAAACATTGTTAACACTTCTCCAGTATTTTTGAAAGTTGCGATTTAACCACAGGAAAAAAAAAAAAAAAAAGTCTACCAGATCATCTTCCTCTGGTCTAATCCCTTTATCAAATCCATCTCTAAGCATCCTGTTCTCTTCCTCAAGCAATGTGCATCTCTCTTGCATGAAACACATGTCCGATTTTATCGATTTCAGTTCTCTTGCAAGTGAAGCTGCTTTTGTTGCCATGGAAATTGCAAGCTGCAAGCAGGTTCAAAGCAAACTATTAGAAACAAGTCGGGCTTAATAATGGTAAAGCATTACATTGACTAAGGAGAGAAGAAACCAACATTTTTGGTTTTCTTCATCCTTTTATCTTTTGGGCTTGGCTCTTTTTCCTTCTGGGGATCCTCCGAACTTTCGTTAGGATCAAACTTCCTCTTCACTCCCTTGTTGGTCTCTTCTTGATTTTGTTGCTCTCTTGATTCCTCTTCTTTACACTCTGCTTCCTTGATTTTAGCGTGGAATATTTCAGTCAATGTGGGCGGTTTGGCCAGATCTCTAGCACCCTAGAAACATAGAAAAACAGAGAATAATAGCTATTAGTTTCAAAACCTCAAATTTACACCAAAATAAGCAAATTGAATAGCTTCAATTTACCTGAAGAGCATTGTCAATATTGTTAGAAAGCTGAGACAAAGTGTGAGCAACAGAGTCAAACCCTCTTAGCAGAAGCAGTGAATCCTCCTTTAAACGCTTCGCTCTATTTGATTCTCCAATTTTCTAAGTAAAAGACACAAAAATCTCAGATACCCATAAACTCAATTTCAATCTAGAACATATACAAACAAGTCATTCAAACACTTGAAAATCAATAACCCACCTCTAGTTTGACTTGATTTTCTCCATCTGATAGTTTTCTATTGCGATCCTCGAGAATCGAATCAACCCGGGTCCGCAAATTGCTCCAAAAACGCTTATCTGAAGATGGGCTGCATAGAGGAGAAGTACCCATGACGCCTGAAGACTCCTGTAATCAACGATCCAACAAAGTTATGAGAAAAGTTGCTCTTTGAAGTTATGAACCAAAAGAAATAAAAAGTTCGCGAAGAAGAAGATACCTTGTTGAGGTGGGCCGGTGATAGAGTATCCACTGAAGCTGCCATTAAAGAGAGAGAGAGTGTAACGGCTAGTTTTTGAAAGAACTGAAAAAAGGTTTAAATAGAGGAGCCGATTTGGTTAACGTTTAAAAATATATCTGAATAGTTTATTTTATTATTGTCTACCTAAAACTGGACTTGGACTTGGTCCACCCATTAAAGTGATAAAGCTTTTAACCACGCCTTACATTGAATCCAACAGCTGAGATATTTTAATGGAAATCTAAGGGCTAGAATTTGTCTTATAATCTCTGCTTTGTTGCTTTCAAATTGTTTTAAGGCTTAATTAAAGACAAATCCAAATCCTAAATATAGCTGGCTAACACTTTAATTTTGGCATAAAACGCCATGTTGATTGTTGGGTAGATCCTTTTTTGTTGATGAACAGTTCAGTTTGATCAATGATTTGTCCTGTCAATAGTGGCAAAAATCAACAACGGGAAAAAGGGCTGTGACAATTTGTCAATAAAATCACTGTAAATATAAAATTTGATGCAGTGAGATTGAACAGAAGATTTCTCTTTTAACTTAATCTTAAATTTAAGTCCTTGACTGCGATATTAAAAATTACCCGGGAATTTACTGTAAGTTTGTTGAGGAAGAGGGTGGCTGTTAGGCCTTTTTAGCTTTATCCAGTACACAAGGTTCTGAAGCAACGAAGATCAAAAGTAACAAGAGTTTAATGGCTACTCTTGCTTCATCATCATCCTCTCTTCTCTTCTCTTCACCACTCTCTAAGCCTTCTCAACCTTCACTCTCTCCTTCTTTACGCCTCTCTTTTTCCTCTTCTTCTTCTTCGTCTAATTTCTCTTCTTTTCTCTCCATTTCTCCTCCTTTCTTTACACAGCCTTTAAGTTCAAGAGGACCCTTTGTTTCTTCCTTCTCAGTCAGGGCCAGTGCCGCTGAGAAGAAGAATGTCCTTATAGTTAATACAAACAGTGGTGGACATGCAGTTATTGGGTTCTATTTTGCAAAAGAACTTCTGGGTTCTGGCCATGAGGTCACCTTCTTGACTGTTGGTGATGAGAGTTCTGACAAAATGAAGAAGCCTCCATTCAGCAGATTCTCTGTAACACAATTTTTTTCAATACTTTTTTCTCTATTTTGCAACATTTAGGCTTTTGGAGTGATTGTTTATTCAAAAAAATTTATAGGAAATTACAGGTGCTGGAGGCAAGACGGTATGGGGAGACCCAGCAGAAGTTGGAAAGGCTGTGGGAGGAGCAACATTTGATGTGGTTCTTGACAATAATGGCAAAAACCTTGACACTGTGAGGTCTGTTTACTTTCATTCTTAAAACTCTATCTTGAAATTTATGGCTTTGCTTTTGTAAATACAAATCATAAGAGTTTTGAAATCATTCTATGATATTAATATAGTATCATATCGAAATAACTTATTATCAGATTAAAAGATAATAGTATTCTGAAAATCTGTTCATCCACGTCTAATAACGAAATATTCATTGTATAAATGCCTTTCGATATACATAGGCCTGTGGTAGATTGGGCAAAGAGTGCCGGCGTGAAGCAATTCCTGTACATCAGCAGTGCTGGAATTTACAAGCCAACCGATGAGCCTCCTCATGTTGAAGGGGTATGATGAATGCATCAGAATTAATTGATTCTACTTTCTGAAACAGAATATAATCTTCACTTCACTGATCACAGGATGTTGTTAAAGCTGATGCCAGTCATGTAGAAGTGGAGAAATATATTGCAGAAACTTACAGCAGTTGGGCAGTTTTCCGTCCACAATACATGATCGGATCCGGGAACAACAAAGATTGCGAGGAGTGGTTCTTCGATCGTAAGTGGATAAATTGAAACCAGTCTTTCTAAGCTTTAATTTCATTCTCATGAAATGGATATGATGTGAATTACAATCCGCAGGAATTGTCCGGAAAAGGCCAGTGCCAATTCCAGGTTCAGGGATGCAACTCACGAACGTTTCCCATGTCAGGGATTTATCCTCCATGCTTACTCTGGCTGTGGAGAACCCAGATACGGCAAGTAGTAATATCTTCAACTGTGTGAGTGACCGTGCTGTGACTCTTGATGGAATGGCCAGACTGTGTGCTCAAGCAGCTGGGGTACCAGTTGAAATTGTGCATTATGACCCAAAAGCTGTTGGAGTTGACGCAAAGAAGGCGTTTCCTTTCCGTAATATGGTAAGGATTTGAATCATTTGATATTCAATGGTTCAAAAATAAAAAATTTATAGTTCAAATCACATATTCCTATTGATTTGACTCCCTGAATTCTGGGTTTTGCAGCACTTCTATGCGGAGCCAAGAGCTGCCAAGGACATTCTGGGGTGGCGAAGTTCCACAAACCTACCAGAAGACTTGAAGGAGCGATTTGATGAGTATGTCAAGATTGGGCGTGATAAGAAGTCCATGCAATTCGAGCTAGATGATAAGATATTAGAATCCCTCAAGGTTCCAGTAACTGTGTGATATATCAGAACTGCAAATTTCCCTTTCCCTTTCTTCTGTCAAAATTCTGACTAATTTTATCTTTTTATCCAAATTAAATAATTGAAATAAAGTTGCTACATGATGTAGCGCTCAAAAGAACCATAAAATGTTAACTTACAGTTCTTCAATGTCTCCAAAGGCATTTCAAAGTAATGTCCACGAAAAATCAAATGGTGTCTTACGCATTATACAATAAAAAATGCCTGATTCCACATACCCAGAAAAGATGGCTTCCATCTTCCAGTTAATTTAAGGTACAAGTACTAATTAAAGAGAACATGAAGCCCCAAAAGATACTTTCCTAAACCAGAATCTAAAACTAAATCCAGTTCCTAAGTACTGTTGAAGCTACAACTAGAGGACTCAGATGTTCTAACATCTAAAGGAAGATAGAGACTTCTAAAACCTAACTTGAATGAACCTCCTACACTTAGACAACAGTGGACAAGCTTAACAGAACAAGCTTGTCAACTTAGAAAAAGGCTGTTTCTCAGTACATGTTATCAGGTAATGTAGACGCATTCCGACTTCTATTCCTCTTGCTTGATTTTGAGCCCCTTAAGTTGTGATTCCAATTCATCTTCATTATCAGCATCCTCATCTTCAGCCTCCTCATCAAAATCTTCTCCTTCCGGATCATTCTCATCCAGTGGCCCAAGCAAATCAGGTGACTGCTTAAATATATCCTTCACCTCATCAATCCCTTCATCAGATATGAAATTACCGTTAATATTTAGCATCTTGTAACCAAGTTTGTTGACAGCAACCTGTGCCAAGAGCCTTGCCCCAGCTCTTCTGATTGAGTTTGTGCTCAAATCAACTTCAGTTAACTGGCCATGACCCTCTTCCAATGACTTGCCAATCAAAATAGCACCTTCATCTTTCAGTTCATTCTCAGACAAGTTTAACTTAGTGAGGAATTGTTTAGCTGCAATACAAGCAGCTAAAGAAGAAGCACCTTTGGCTGTGATGTCATTTCCAGCCAATTCCAGAACTTCAAGTGAGGGTGCAGACTCCTTGAGAGCATTGGCAAGTGCTTCTGCCCCCTCATCGTCCAAGTTCAGATAACTAAGGTAAATCTCAGTAAGATCAGGAAATGCAGATAAAGCTTTGCTCAGAGCTAATCCAGCTTCCACACCGAACATATTGTCACGAAGATCAAGCTTCTTCAGATGGGTACATGTTCCAAGTGCTTCAGCTAGGGCAACACCTCCCTCTGAGCCAATTCTTGTTGAAGAACAACGGAAATCCTCCAACACAGGAGAATGTTGCACCATTTCAGCGATAGCAACTGCACCCTCATCTCCTGTCATGTTATTGTGAAAATGAAGGACTTTAAGCTTCTCAGTGGAAGGAATTAGCTCACAAACTGCTCGTGCAGCTTCCTCCGAAATGCCATCATTCATCAAATAAAGCTCCTCCAGATTATTCTGTGATTTGAGGAGAGCCTCAAAAGCCCTAACACCCTTTTCACCCAAGGCGTTGTTTGAAAGGTTTAGGTACCTCAAATCACAACACTCCAAGGCAGAAGAAAACATAGTAATGACTTCAAGGGCCTCCGACTCTGGCCTTCCAGCAATAAAATCTGATAGGTCTACTTCAGTCAGTTGATCCTTAATTGAATTCAAAATGGGCACTGCAACCCTGGCTGCACCCAAGCCAAAACTTCTGTTGCTGAAAATTATCTTGGTATATGAGTTTCCTGGATCCCTTAGGGGCCCTAGCACGTCCTCAGCCTCCTCTTCTTCTATAAATGCCCGGCGACCTCCAGATATATCAAAGATGGTTTGACTAGCAGCAGTAGCCTTATCATTTATCATCACCTCTCCGTCCTCCTTTGCTCTAGGGCCTCTTTTTATAACTTCCAGCATCAACTTACTGGATTCTTTGGCATAAACTTGCACAGCAGAACTTCCATCACCATCTGGCTCCTTCTCATAGTGTTGGTTTGCAGCTGTAAAAGCTAACTCTTCTATTTGCTTGGCATCCTCCTCAGCCTCTTCTTTGCCCAGCAGGCCATACTTTCTTGAGAAAATGGATGGAGTGGTAAGATTCTTTGTCATTCGCTCAACAAGCATTAGCCTGGTACTCTGACTAGGGGGCCACAGCTTGACTGATAATGTGCGTTGTTGGAAAGTTTGTGATGCAGAATCCATGGTCAAGTATCCTGGAAACATGTATTGCAAATATATTACAAACTTGTAGCAAAATCAACCACAGTGATTCGTGATTATTGAAGCGTAGCATCTCAAAATTTGCAGCATATAAGCAGTAAAATGGAACAGCAGAGAACTTGTTAATATACTTCATAATGTAACTCAAAACTGATACTCCATGTTAGCAAGTTGTGTGATTACAGAAAATCAGAAGTTAAATGGCATTTGACACCAAGAAACACCCAGTAATCGGTGAATATGAAATGATAAATAGTTGACCTGATAAGTGCAGTTGAAAATGGGAAGAGGCATAAAATTGGTTCATAGGAAGGTCACAGTTCTAAAGTGAAAGTATTCAAAGAAAAGAAGGGAATTTGACTCCAAGATGCAGGGCAATGAAAACACAAGGCCATTTCTGCAGAAAAAAAACTGTTGAGGATGGGGAGGTATAATAACACTAGAAAAACTAATTGCCATCAAAATAGTGCAACAAATTCACTTAGTCCAAAAGCTAAACCTTCATTACCTCTTTTGAAGCTTAACCTATGTACTTTCAAATAACCATAATCATAGTCAAGGAACTTCTATCTTTGATGAGTACAATTTTTGCTAAGAGTATTCTAACTGAACTACTATTGTTTAACACCATATAACTACTAATCAAATACATATGTTCTAGGGATGCCAGAAATCAAACACTACCCAGCCTCACATGAAATCTAATTTGAACTTTAATAGATCCAGCAACTACAGCAAAAATGTCTAACATAATCAGATTCCAATGGGATAAACTTTTTAGCTGAAGTAATACTATTTATCATAGAATCAGTTCCATTTCTGTAAGTAATAGTTAATTAAAGAAAACTCTCTTATACTCAATACGAAAGATGTGTTTTAAATATTGCTGGTGTGATGGTGTTTCCAAACAAGAAATTGCAAGCCACTTGCAAGCGTAAATCATGGTAACGGAGGTGCTAAGGTAGGTTGGAGGCAGCAAGTGCAGTGCAGTGCAGTGCTGACAGTGAGGAAATATTAATAACAGCAGAGAAGCAATTATATTGTGAGGGCACGAGCAATGATATGAGTAAAACTCAGAAGTAATAAAATTAAAAGAGAGAGGATCTATTGCCACTGAAGCCAAAGTTGTCGATTTCATATAATGTAGTTGAAGAAAAAGCGACAAGGTTGTAGTGATATGAATAGAAATTTTTCCTCCATTAATTACAAAAGAGTCACAAAGTTAATTTAATTCATTAATTCATCCCAGCAAGAAAAGTCATTTCATTAAACAAGTTAAGACAACATAAGCACAAATATTTATTCCTTATTAGTAATGCCAACATCATCAGACAAAAAACTGTGGTTCACATATTCATAAAGCAGTTAATATGAATGCAAAAATGAATGTGGGATCACAAGTCAGTTAATGCTTCCTTTAAATCTATAAGGGGTGCCCAACATTCCAGAAGCAAAAAACAGTTGAAACATGCAAAATAGAAAATCAAACAATGAATTGACCATGACCAACAGGTGCATTCATTCTATACATGTTGAAAGGCTTACATCACATGTCCCCTTATCAAAACAAACAACATATACAACTTACAGTATTATGGCACAGAATATCGTATATGTATAAGCCAATACAAAGTCTCCAAAAAACTGCATACAAGAATCCCAAAGCTATACATATACGATATCCAAGGGCTTGTTTGGTTTACTCTTTTCAAAACAATTCAGCTCTAAAAATCTTTTTAGTTAACTACATCGGAAATTGACTTTTAATAATACCATTCTATGACATTCTTATTTTTAGAATAAGTTCATGTAGTTTCCATAACAGTTGAGAATAATTACAAAAAAAAAAAAAAAAAAAAAAAATCATGTGTTTTCTCATATGATCATTTCTAATTTTGCAAAAATAAGAAATATAAAGGATGCCCCTCACACTTTGGAAGTGTTTATTAGTAACTCCAGTGAAAAGAAATAATTCGGAGAGCATATAAAGATGACAAACAAACAATGTTCTTGGTTTTTTTTATGCATGATAAAACCATTCAGTGGCATGCGCAAAATATAATTCAGACGACTGGAAACAGTCACATGACCAATAAAATTTCAATAAGAAAATCAATAACAAAAAATAGAAACATCTTAATTTAGTTATAGTTATTTCGATTTCCGGAATACGCACTCAACTTGGTTAAATTGTCATTCAAGAACTTCCTTAATTAAATTTTTTTAACACAGGGAAATCATAAAGACACAAAAAGATTAAAATTTAACTGTTCCAATAGATTTTAAATTTTAATTTTCTCGACTTTTTGCGCCAAATGCATTGACATCACTAATAATTTTGGTTGAGGGCACAAAAGTGAACCAGCAAAATACCCATCCAAAAAGCAATTTCTCCTCCAACATTTTTCTAAGCATCCCAACAAGTTGAAATCGTTCCTAATCATTAAAAAGATCCAAAGAAAACCACAAATTACAATTCAACAAATATACAAGACACAGTTTTCTGCCAATAATTTCTCAAAAACCAAAAAATAATCTATAAAAGATAAAAAGAAAAAAAGAAACGGAAACGGAAACGGAAACGGAAAACTGAAACTCCAAGAATTATAAACCGAAAGAAGCCCAAAAACAGAAGAAAACCCCGAAATTAACGTTAAAATAAACCAACCAAAAGAATACAAGAAGAGGAAAACAAAAAAAGTAAAGAACCTGAAAAACCGTTAAAGAAATAAAAGAAACTCAGAATCTTACAAAAGCAAAGCAGATCCAAACTCAATGCAACGACATCCAAAAATATACAGTTATCCGCAAAATTAACAAGTAGAAAATGAATGGAAAACCCTAGAATTAGAGAAATGAAAACCCTAGAAATGAAATGGCAGTGAAAAGAAAGAGA